TGGAGCCTCTATCGCCTTCTTAAGAAAGACGCGCTGGGTTCGAAAGGACCCACAGCACTTAGAGATCCATCTCTCCATCTCTCTCTCTGTCTCTCTTTCCGTCTTTCTCTCCAACTTGGGCGGAAACCACCCAAGCCTTTTGTACGGCTAGCAAGCCAATAGCTAGCCGCCACGTGTGCCTAAATTAAGACCGGCCAATAATGTGGCTCAAATCTTAATACAAATGGCGGGAACTCCTTTGCAGCGTGCATCACTATAATGCAAGAGAAATGCACAATGCAAAGAAGGCTACAAAACGGTGGGAAACACTTTTCTGCACGCGGGTTCTCTATAACAACAGAACACTCCACCGTGCAAAAGAGCTGCAATTCGGCGGGAACATAATTTAGCGGTGCCGAAGCACACACAATCAAGAAATCCACAACTTTGGGTTGTGACAGAATCAATTACCACCAAATATCTCCTTAAAGTCTATGCTTTCAGTGAATATTTTCTTGTCACTGTTTAGATTTCCTTATTTGTTTTCCACCGGTGAAATATATATATTTTAAGATGTTTTCATTCCTGGTTCTTGTTAGGTCCACATATAATTGTCCATGGGAAAACACTGGTTCTGGTAAGCAGAGTCCCAAACGTTTGTCCTTGTGATTTATTAATTGTTATTGCAAATGCTGTTATTATGGGAAAATGTCTCCTTTTCAGAATGAAAGGTAGTTGTGTGTCTGATAGAGCCAAATCAATCCTAGGTATGATGACACGTTCTACTATATTAGTACCTGTAATTATTTCAGCATCTAGGAAATTTTGGTGTAATCCTCTTATCATCAGTTGGGTTCCCTTGCACAATCCCTTTTTTGGATTCATATTTCTGACTAACATAACAGCACCAATTTTCAACTGCAATTTATGCGGTGGTAGCCCTGATGGTGTATGAGCATTTAAAAATTCAATGGGATAAGTAGCTTGATTTTCAGAATCATCCATCGTCGTTGAATCTGTGCTGTAGTATTTTTTAATTTCACCAGGCATCAAGGTTATAATTTCATTATTCAGTGCCATGATGTGTTTATTCTTAGGAGTTATGATAATTTTCTTCTCAAAGGAATCCAAGTTTTCCACTTCAATACGTTTCCTGTAAACTGCTTTGACAATGGGCTCCATCTAAGTAAAGTTTTCCAGTATTTCAGTTACATCTGGTGGCAACTGTCGCAGAGCACTTAGGTGCCCTGCTCCTAAGGAGGAGAAACTGAGGAGGGAATAAGGAGCCCAGCTGCGGGTTGCCGGGGCAACCAGGGAAGGTCAGCTGACCGGAAGGGGCAGGGCCTGGTCCTTATAAAGCCCAGGGGCTGAGGCCAGGCTAGCAGTTACCTGCCAGCTGCCAAAGAGAAAGGAGTTTGCTTATGGAAGGGATAGAGTATTTCCTGGTAGGCTTAAGCATTGTTATGGCCAGGCGGCTTCTGTTTAAGTTATAGCCGGTTGGCTTGTATTTTGTGTTGCCGTTTATCACCGGTGGTTTGGGTGAGGCTATTAGGGGTTGGAGGAGGCCTCATAGGGGACCCACAGCAGCCTGAGGACCCCAGCGCCAGTAAGGGTGCTACGTACGGGGTGTGTCGTGGAAACACACGCAGCATACTTTTGGGTCAGGTCAGCAGAAGCTTTTATTCAAAAGAAACTACAGCTGTAGGGGGGATTCCAAAGTGACATGGATTTCCCAAGCACTTGGAAGGGGTCCCCCCCCAAGAGCAAAATCAGGAGGCTTATATACTTTTTAACAGTTGCTTACAACTCACGTGATCATATAGTGAAATTAGCATGAAAAGCGGCTATAATATTACTTCATTATTTCTTTGCTGTAATCAGGATGGGAACTAATGGGGGAGGCGAGGTTAGTTCACAAACCTCCTTCTTGCACCTGCAAATCAGAGTTGTACATACTTTTTGCTATCTTCAAGGCCGCGGTGAGCGAAGCAGTTGCAGAGGAGTTACAAAGAACAAACACTTTCTCTTATCTGTTCTACTATACAGAGCCAGCAATTCTCCACAAAGCGGTTATGTCATCTTATAACTAAAATAGTCAAAGTTTAAGGCATATATTTTTTCTGATTCCACAGTTCCCCCCCCTTTGAGACTATTTAGTCTCACTTTACCCTTAAATTTTTATTCTCATGAGCCCCTCTATTTCATCATGCAGCCTTTCATGTTTTCTTTCAATCTGCTCACACTTTTGTAACACCATTATTCTAGACTCTGCTGTGGGTTTTCTTGCCTTGCTAAAGCTTCTCCTGCTGGCTTTCACGCAGCAGAGGATCAGTTGCACTAAGACATAAAACATTATCAGAACTATCAAGACAAACAATATTCCATACAGGATTTTCTTGCCAAGGGCCCCGGAATCTGGGAGCCAGGAGGTTAGCCAAGACCACATTTCTTTTAGACCCCAGTCAGTATTTTCTGAGGCCACTTGATGTAAGACCCTTAACTGACTTCGGATTTTACGAATGTCAGTTTCAATTCGCATGTCCTGATTGACATAGACACAACAGGTGGAGTTTACTAAGGCACATACTCCTCCCTGGGATACCAATAGGTAATCTAGGGCTACGCGGTGTTGTATAGTTACTTGTGAGATCTGGGAGATCTCTTCTTGCAGAGCCTGAATTGCATCCGCAGTGGCATTTCCCATAGCTTCCATTGTGGCTGAAATGTTAATTATGGCTAGTTCCAATTCTCTTACTCCAAGCCACGGTATGAAGGTTCTCACAAATTGATGGAACCCTGTGTTTCTGGTAGCTAAGGGGTTAACCGCCCTTTTCATGTGATGGTTGAAATTTTTTACTTGTTCCAGATATATTGTACTATGCATTTCAAAACCAGGGATAACACGTCCAAGAGTGCATGCCCCCACCCAATTCCAGGGCAAGATTTTATGAGCCCTGTTTCCGCAGAGCCAGTAAAGGCCTGGGGCAGAAAGGGTACTCAAATCTCGACAGGTGTTGTGCCATATCCGGCACTTTCGATTAATATGCATCGTATAGGACGGACCACGTTCAGCTGTTATCCTGCTGGACCGAGATATATTACAAGAAGTAAAATTGGAGTCAATGTAAAATTCCGATCTGTTTGCAATGAGAGCAACATGAGGTTCCTTAGAAAAGTTGTAGACCATGAATCCTGTACAATTGAGAGAGGGTACATTACCCAACAGGATTCCACTGGTGCTATTGGGGCTATAATCTAGAGTAGTTAGGCAATGAGGGTAGTGTCCTACAGGTGTGGCTTTATTATAAGCTCCGGTGTTGTTGGATCTGTAACAGAAAGGCGCCTCTACTCTTGGGGAGATTATCCAGTTAGCAGGGGCGGCCCTCCATTCTTTAGGAGCGGACCGATGGGCAGCTAACGAGTAGTGTCTAACGAAGCCGCCGTTTATTGTTCCCCATTGCCGGAGGGATATTGGTACTCCGATCATTGGGATTCCTTGTTGTAGGTGCGCTGGGCTGTGAGAGCATATCCAGCAGTCACTTTTATTTCCAGCTTGAGCCACCGTACGGGAGATCTGCAAGTACAAATTTTTCTCCCACCCCCCTTGGGTGATACTGAGATACCCAAGTGTGATATATAAGGATATCAGTGCCATTTTTAGATACAGGAGGGACAAAGAATTTTAACAACAAACATAACCAGCACCAGAAA